GAGAGAGAGAGAGAGAGAGAGAGAGAGAGAGAGAGATCGCAAAAAATCAAATAGATTTTCGTTAAACTTCTTTATTATTATTTTTTGTTATAAATTTTTTGTGGCGAAAGAGTCTATGATTTTAATATATCAATCAATCAATTGTTTAAACACTTGAATACTTTATAAGCGATTCCGTGTTTTCAACAATAATTTCTATGAAAGAAATGTCTTTTTATTCAATCGCTAAACAAAAAACTGCTAACATTTCATCAAATATTAGGTCACTTTATAACATGTATTATAAAATATATGGTAATAATTAAGCATAAAATTTATTTAATACTCTTCTACTACTGCTTTGAAACCTTTTAACAATAAAATTCAATGAAAAACTCTGAAAAATATACAATACATGTCTGTCTGTCTGTAAATCTGTCTACAAAACAGTATTATAACTGTTATAATAATTATTTAATAAAATTATTTCACTATTTAATTACAGAAAAGGGCGTTAAAAACGGTAAACCAAACAATCTCTCGGACCCAAAACGTGCAATACCTCCCTGGGCTACGGGTGGGGACGACCCATACCTCAGTCCTATCACCAATGGTAACAGCAATGGCTATCATTATCATCAACAACCGGTGACCACCGCCGCCGCCAACGGTTCCCGAACTCATCACTTGACCAATGAGGACGTCATACGACCCACGAAGCCATACAATAGCCGACAATTGTCGCATCAGTCGTCGGCGGCCGTATCGCCACCCCCTCCGCCTCCACCGCCGCCACCGCCGACTCACGGTTTTGATTACGAATTCGACATAACGAGTGCCAATTGTAAGTCGATTCGGACTAATGTTAGCGATAGTGCCAACTATTCCGACGAAGACGAGGAGGAAGAGATCAAGGTATTCATGAATGTCATTTATTTTACTGTATTATGATATTGATATTACCTGTAGATTAGTCTATCTAATTATATTTTGTAGTTATTTATGATGGTGATTATTTATGTGCCCTGTATAGTATATGGGATTTAAAAATAGATTAAGTTCGCTAGATTAATTATTTGATATTAAATATAGTGTGGCAAATATTAAGGTGAATGTTGTGAAATGTTATATATTTTTTCAATTAATTTATATCAAGTTTTTCATATAAAATAATGTTTGCGAAACTGGTATTACAATTAGATTTGCTGTTTTATTTGTTACGGAATGTGAATAATGTGCAAATATTTTCGCACAAATTAATTTACCATAATGTGTTAATACGGAAAATGATATAGCGCATATAAGTGGACATGTATTATGTATTTTAAATTTATTTTTATCATAAATGTCATTTTTTATTCATATGATATATGAACACAATATAATTTATTGTCTCCACTCCTGACTCTAAACCACTTTTGCAATTAGTTTATAAAAAATTTAACCCAAATTTTTGCGCTAAACAGTGATATTTAACGGCAATTACATAACAATTACAATAGTTTTTTGGTAGAAATAAATGTATATATTTTTTAATTAGAAATGTCTGTGAAATATGTGTTTAGGTTTCACTTTTCACAGCATTTCCCTAATTGTAGCCTTAATTTAACCGCAATTTTTGTTTTGACTGAAAATCATATCTAATCGCAAAACGATATATTAAAAAGCGTTTCGTTATTTCAATTGTTTTTAAATACGATTCTAATGAATGGCAGCAAAAACATTATGGTAACAATGAGAGAGCAGAAAGGAGAGAGAGAGAGAGAGAGAGAGAGAGAGAGAGAGAGAGAGAGAGAGAGAGAGAGAGAGAGNAGAGAGAGAGAGAGAGAGAGAGAGAGAGAGAGAGAGATTGGAAAATATATGCCATTGAGATAAATACACCACTAATTGTTTCCTGAAAATTCATATCATATCTCTTTCTCGCATTGCATTCATAAACAGTACTTGAAATTTACAAAACAAAACCAAAACAACCATGTAAAAAGAAAATATTCATTATATCATTGTTTTTGCCCATATTTAGGTCATAATTCGGCCGCAATTACCGCCGCTGAAGAGGGAACAGCTGTCTGAAGCGCGTCGCGAGCGGATCCTATTGTCCGAAGATCTGTTCAATTTGCGGCCATTCGGTGCCAAAACACACCTCAACCACAATCACAACCATAACACCAAGTCTGGCCACTGTTGGACACCATTGCACGACTTGAGCACATCCGACGACGAAGACGACGACGGAATCAACTCTGGGAACCATTCCGACGAAAGTATCCAAAAGTGCGACAAACCATTGAATAATAACTGTTACGACACGAGATTTACCTTAAAGAATCAGCTCAGAACTTTAGTCCAAAATAAACAATTTAAACAAACACACAATCACCTTTTCCCCTATTAATTAATGCCAGTTTGAATTATGAATGTTTGCTTTTTTGTAATTATTAATTAATTAATATTTTTAATGTTTTGTTAAGTAAACAATGATTTTTCTCCAGAAATTTGCATAAATTTTGATGAATTTTTGTGCGATTTTGTGTCGAGATTTTTATAAATCGGGTTTTTCTATGATTAGGAAATTGTGTTTTTAACTAATGTTTTCCTGAATGTGTTTTGTTTGGGTGAATATTAAGATATTTTTCATTTCATTTTACAATATCATAACCAGAGAGTGCCTTATATTATGTGTAATTTTATTTTTTGCGAAATATTTTGTTTAATTTGTTATTTTTTCTAGTTATAAATGATTTTTAAATTGTATTTTATACATACATAATAAACACTAACTTTCGATTAATATTTAAACATAATGGTTTGTTTTTGCTTAGGATTTGCATTTTATAATAACTAATTACCACATTGTTTTCCAAACCCTAACTTTCAGTTTATAAATACTAAACTGATTTTTAATTGTAATATAATTATTGTATTTTTACATGTATTTCTTATACCCCTAACTCTCTCTATGCCATTAAAATCACGTTATAATTGTAATTCGTGTTCATTATAATTGACTTAATTTTTATGAAATATTGTTATTTTTTTATAATATTTCGCTTCTCATATACAAAGACAAACGGATTATTGTTTTTATTATTTTCTTTGTATACAAAACTTGATATTTTCGCCGAAATAAATAAATATATAAATTGTTTTCATTGTTTTCCATGACTACGTTTATCATAAGCAAAATTCATGTCCGGTTAGTGTATATCATACATAGTGTACGGATTATATTATACATTGTATATGTTTTAATACAGTATATTAGATAAACAATACGTTAATTAAAACGAGAGTAATTATATTCGCATATATTTTGTTTGTTTGTGTTTTTTTGCCATTTAATAAGCAATGAATTGCATTTGAATTGAATTAAAATTTATAAATAGATTTTGCAATGAGATTATACAATAAGCGATTATAACTTATTATCCATACAAGTATACAATATTACATGTATAGTATATTTAATATTGATATTATACACGTATATTGTCGAAATCATGAGTGCTGCTTAGTTTTTGTTAGCCCACTGTCGCGTAATCTATGGGCAGACCCAGTTGTCTGACTAGACATCCAAATGATGTCATCAATACATGTGTTTAATATTTGTCAACAATTTTTAAAATAAAGTTATCTGAAATTTCAAATTAACTGTAATTTATTAATAATTATATTCTAAATATTTTTGAAATTCAATTGTTAATTAATACAGATACAATTATAATTTAATAATAATAAGTTTAGTTTATGAAACAAATCAAATGATATATAATAATGAGGTGTTGTTTTAGCATTACATTGAAAATCATTTAGAAAATACATATCATATTCAAATACAATTAAAACAAATATTTATAAAACCCATGACTTGACTAAGCATTTGATAAATATATTGAATATATTTTGTTGAGATTATCATCATTTAATACTCAACTGAATCACATAAATTGTTAATAATGTTATATAACTTTCTTAGAGTTTTCTCAATAATATATTATTAATTAAAAAATAATATTAATAGAATAGTGTGACTAATAATATTGCAATTAATGAAATACAAGTATCAGATAAATGATAAGTGAATGAATTTTATGACAAATATATATTGAAGTGTTTGACAAATATCTCAAATAAAAAACTGTTGATTAGTTTGTAATATAATAAAGGAAACGATGAATCACTCAAAGTAATGACCGGAACTTAGAGTTATATAAAGTAAAAGAATTAAACGATAGAATAATACAGAATCTAACAATTTGTCCAAAACAGAGATATTGTCATCAAATGGTTTGTTCTATCGGTTTGATTGGCCATTGATTTCAATACAATTAGTTTGATGAGTTATAACTCCGTCAGTAATCAACCAATTTTCTTCGACTTTAATCAAATGTCTGCAACATTTTTGCCATAAAGTTGTTTTGTTTAGGCCTTTGAATGTTTTCTCAACTAATTTAATAAATTGTTGAGAAGTAGTGTTGAGATTTTTATATTTCATAACATGTTTGAATGCGGCCCAAACCAATTCAATCGGATTTAACTGTTAATTAAAATATTTAATTAATTATTATATCAGTTTTTACAGCCAAAAGGGGATTAAGTTTAACATTAGGTTCAATCATAACAATTGCACTCAATAAAACTCATTGAATCAAACATAAAAATTCAGAATTACATTCATTTCAATGTTAATGATTAAACCTAATGTAAAAGTTTAGCTATTTTTAAATACTTACATCACACATATATGGTGGTAATCTTAGAGGAATGTGACCGTGTGCGCGTAGCATTTCATCGACCACACAAGTTTTGTTAAAATTATTTCTAACAATAATTAACAATTGTGTTTTATTGATTTTGTTTGGCAAATCTATGCCCTTATTTATACACCAGTTTTTGATGTCATTGACCTTCCAATTAGTTGTCGGTTTACTATAATAATGAAACAAACAAATATGAGATAAATATATTGCAAACTTACAAACATTGGGTTATTAATAAGGTAGAAATGGCCTGGATTGTTTAGAAATTAAATAGTATGTCCAGAATTTGCAAAATATTTTTAACATTAAGTCTATGAAAGTGTCCAGAACAAATAAATTCAAAGTACTAAAGTCTAGGAATCCAGGATTTTAATATAAATTTTTGGTCAATATACTTACGCTTCGGTTAAGCGTCCATGAGTGGCCGCATTATCGTAAACAACAACGGTTGGTTTCTTAAGATTGGGTATTAATTGTGTTTTAACCCACAATTCAAACTTGTCTGCATTAAAGGTCTCGTTGCAAACAATTTTGAGACAATTCTTTACAAATCCCTTACGTCCACCGGCGTGAAGGATACTATACGAGTTTCCTCTGCCTAATTAACAATATTAAAAAATATAATTAATAATTTAAATACTGGCTCCAAACGATCCAGATAGTTTTTCTGCACAACCTTATCGTATTCATCGACGTATAGCATAGAAATGGGTGACAGCTTTGTGGGTATGCAACAGGCCTTAGGCACTGCCGACGGGTTCACCGAATTGACCAGTGTTTAGACGAAGAAGTGATTTGTGGTTTAATAGTATAATATAATGCACACGTTTAGTGCATTATAATTAAATATAATATTCTATCCAGAATATGTCATACACTGTATGTTTAGTTTAGTTGTGTTGTGAGAGTGAGTGAGAGAAGAGAGTAAAATGAAATGAAATACTATTTCAATAATCAGGGATTAAAGAGAACTGAAGCGACCGATAATGCAATTTCTAGTGTTTAAGGCATGAATCCATACACAATCCAAACTCAATACTAATTCACAAAAATAGCATCAATTGAATTTATGATATAATTACAGACCTATTGGGATATTAAATTTAAAATTGTTGTCGTCGTCGTTGTCATCGATTTCTATTGGTGTTAAAATTTTGTCGGGCATAATATGGCCGTCAATATGTGTTTCGTCTAAATAGACGAATGGATAGCCTTTGGCTTCCAATTCTCTCTTCACTTTCAAATAAGCAATTCGTTGGCATTTTATATTATTAGTTGAGATCTTCAATAATCTTAAATATGCCTTTGTTTTCTTATTTCGAAAACCTATAAACACAATGATTATGAAAATTATTGAGAAAACCATTTAAAACGATGCGATTATGTAATAGATTTTTACAATTATTTTCAGTAGTGTTTCATATATTTAAATAAACAAATAATAAATAAACATTGATATTAATTATAATAATACCCATTAATTTGATGATTTTCCGAAATGTGTTATAAGAACACAAATTAAAGTTAACGTTCACTTTATGTTCTCTTATATAAGAGTGTAATGATTTCACTGTTAATAAAATATTGTTTTTATAATTATCGATTATTATTTTATTAACTTTTTTGATGTCTGTATTATTAAACGTATAGATTTTCTTTCGTTTTTTCGTCAATATTGGTGGTCGACATCCATCCCTATATAAATTATGTGATATAATAATTTTAAGTGAATTTTAGTAAATTGTCATAATGGTTCAAAAATAGGGTGCAATGCTACCTAGATAGTATTACCCCCCTTTGCTGGATTTCACATAATATTACAGGGTATTATAATGAAGATAAATACTATACTTACGGTGTTATGAATCTCTTGATTGAATCTCTACTACATTTAAATTGAGCTATTAATTCATTAATTGCATATTGTCTGCTAAATCCTTGTTCAATATATCTCTTATAATTAACATTTATTAAAACTCTTTCTGGGTATGTAATAGTATGCCCAGGGCCTCTAATAGGCTGTATATTAGGACAAACATTTTCAATATTATCACACATTTTCACTATTATTACAATTGTTTCACATGTTATTTATATTTTGATAATCACATGAATGAATGGTCTATTAGTTTGCAATCAATGGTCTATAGATACGACCAAAAGTGGTCGCGATTTTGGCACTCATTTACGACAACTCATCCCAAAGCTGTTCCCGAACTCCGAGTTGACACAAATCAAGACAAATGAATTGAAAGCATTGAACCAACGAATCCAGTGGTTGACAAGACTCAGCACACAGTTATACTTCAACCAATCGTTTCAGTTCTCGTTGGCCAGCGGTCTAACCGTCTATGAATGCAAACAAAACATATTCACTGATAATCTGAAACAATTAGAGATTGATTACGATTTGTCCACTTTTGATCGCATCAAACCTAACTTTGTATTAGATTCACAAACAAATCTTAATTGACTACATTTTTATCACAATTTAATGAATTTAAAAATTGTTGACAAATATTAAACACATGTATTGATGACATCATTTGGATGTCTAGTCAGACAACTGGGTCTGCCCATAGATTACGCGACAGTGGGCTAACAAAAACTAAGCAGCACTCATGATTTCGACAATACCTCATATA